GGCTGCAATGGCTCCTTTTTAATGTGGCCTTTATGGCATTCCCACCACAGTGTGGGATCCGAGCCAGGCGTTGGCGGCACGCCTAGGTGCGGCTTCGGCCGTGCCAGCCTCCAAATCTCTGTTGTGTTGGTTGAAATCCTGGCTATTGTTGTGTGGACCAGGGGGTGTGGTGGAACACCAAGGTGAGGATCCGTCCGAGCCATCCACCTGCGGCCTCCCTCGCCTCCGGTCTTCTTGACTCTGTCTTGACACCGGGCCCAGGCGGGGGAGGAGTAGAGAGTGTAGGTAGATGCAGCGCAAGTCTACCCGCACTATAAACCCCTGCGCAAGTCACCGTCCCTGCTCCCACCGCTGCTGCAGCTGTGGGGCACACGGTGGACATCGTCGAAACCGACGGTCGAACTGTCGTGTGTGTGTGTGTGTGTGTGTGTGTCTGCCCTCAAAACGGGCCACGTTTTAGATGCGCTGGACCAACACGGGGGCCACATCGGACTCTGGCAGGCTCTATCTGTGCGTAATAGCAAATGCCAACAGCTGAGGGGTGCGCTGGCAGACCCTGTTGTCGGCAATCGTCGCACATCTGGACCACTGTCATCACCCCATTGTTTTGTGGTAAAAAAAATCCTGGTCATTTGTGTGTGGACCAGGGGGTGTGGTGGAACGCCTAGGTGAGATCCGTCCGAGCCATCCACCTGCGGCCTCCCCCATCTCCGGTCTTCTTGACTCTGTCTTGACACCGGGCCCAGGCGGGGAGGAGGAGAGAGTGTAGGTAGATGCTACGCAAGTCTACTGGCACAATAAACCCCTGCGCAAGTCACCGTTCCTGCTCCCACAATGCAGTCTGTTGGGCACACGGTGGACTTAATCGAAATCGATGTTCGAACTGTCGTGTGTGTGTGTGTGTGTGTGTGTGTTTGTGTGTGTGTGTGTGTGTGGGGGGGGGTGTAGGGGTGTCTGCGGTGGGTTCACGTGATGGTTGTATTGGTCGCTCACCTGCTTACAGGTGAGACAACGCCTAGCGTCCATTTGCTGGCACCTAATTCTCACCTGTGGCTCCACGTAGCTGGGCTCTGCTCAGCGGCCACACCCCGGGCAACGGTCTCGAACGGCGGGCTAAACCCGGTGAGGGCGCTGTGCGCTGTGCCGTGTGCACAGGTCTTGCGGACTCCGCTGGATGGAAGGTCGGATGGAACCTTGCATCGGCACCGTCGTGACGTTGTCCGTCTCTGCACTCCGCTGGACTGCCGGTGACGCTATGGAACTCCTACTCGACCTCGCCTTGAAGCGCCCACCTACGCCGTCGGAGGCCACAGCTTACGGCGAATTCGAGTCGCTCTCCACTACAAACATATAGTCGTGGTCCCATATTGGAGTTCGGCAGAGCCAATCGGCTCATGGCAGCCCTATTCAGGGGTGGCACTGCCAGCCCCCACGAGGGGAAGGGCCTAGAAAAGGTTGTCTAAAAATGCTGTGCACCACGCCGTTTCCAGGCTAGCCACGGCCGCAGGCGACTAAACATGGTCGAAACAATCCAAATCGAAACAACAACAATACCAATAACAATAGC